ATCATTCATGAGTAAATTCAGTTGATTTGATTATAAAGTATCTTTCTCTTACTTTTATCATTTGATCTTGGTAATTTATAAATATCAGTTATCAATTTCATTGATGTGACCTGATTATTTATTTTGAAGTTATATAGTTGAATTATTATTTACAGTTGATATGTAATACACCAGACATATTCAGAGAACTATGTTGAGTTAGCCTTGTTCCATAAACAGGAGATTAATTGATAATCATATGTTTTTATCATAGATAAATGTAACATGAAATAGTTGCATTGGAATGTATATATTTATTCAGTAATATTGTACATGCATAATGTTTATTATCAGAATTTAATGTTTTTAAATTTTATGCAGTCAAGGGGAATAACTTTTAAAGTGATTTGAAGTTATGAAGATAGTGCAAGAGTTATCTTTCTTGTAATGTACATATATTCCCTTGCAAGCTTATTGTTAACTTTTATGCTTACTATTGTTTATTCCTATTACAGGGCTATACTATACTACTACTACTATATTACTACTTCTGTCATTATATCGATCCATCCATATCAACACTTGAATGATGCAATAAATGATGAACCCACAAGTGGCGACTTCTTATTTATAAGTAAAGGACCACTATTACAATATGATGAATTATGGCTTTGTCATTCTTGAGAAGAAGATGTTTAAAGAATTTTCCTATATATTTCTACGTAAAACTTTGGTCAGCCATTTTGGCCCCGCCCTACCCCAGGGGGTCATGATTTGAACAAACTTAAATCTACACTACCCCAGGATGCTTCCACATAAGTTTCAGCTTTCCTGGCACAGTGGTTCTTGAGAAGAAGATTTTTAAAATACGCCACCAAATTTTCATTAATTCCAATTTATCTCCCCTTGAATGAGGGCGTGGCCCTTCATTTGAACAAACTTGAATCCCCTTTACACAAGGATACTTTGTGGCAAGTTTGGTTGAAATTAGCCCAGCGGTTCTTGAGAAGAAGTCGAAAATGTGAAAAGTTTACAGTCAGACAGACAGACAGACGGACGTCGGAGAAAATGTGATCAGAAAAGCTCACTCGAGCCTACGGCTCAGGTGAGCTAAAAATCAACATAATATTTTAGACCATCTTTAAAATGACGTTTGGTGGTCTTCCCAACTCAGGGAAAAATTATCGGGTCCGTATTTATAGGTGAGAAAAAATTACTTATGATTTAAACATATTTGTTGAGGGAAGAGATAGAAAAAATATCGTGTAATGGGATATGTAAAAAAATGAGTCGGGCCATTTCTAGGCAGTAGATCGGGAGAGAGGGCAACCAAATATTTTTATAACAAGTGGTCTTATAAGGCTAGTACATGTGCCATCATATACTTGGTAATGCAAAAATTTTTAAGCTTTGACACTATTTTGAAAAACTAACATAGGATTTTCGGGAAGGGGGGTGTAGCCTCTCACTTTTTTTGCGAAGATAAACAGAGCATATGCAATTGAACCTTTCTTTGCAAACATTGTGCTCGCTTCTAAATTTCAAATATTTTGTCAAGCTTCGTATCATGCGTATGTTCAATGAGTGAGAGCTTACAACGTTGTCAACATAATGAGACATAATGTGTTTTTATGTCCAAACATTACCCCCATTCAATGTGTGGGTCATTGCAAACAATCTAGCTATCTATGTGAGGTACCTGAAGGAAATCCTTTAACTGCCTATTTTTTCTATCTAACTGCTAGGCAAAATAGACATATGTACCAACTTTTTGAATCTAAGAAATGTAATTACAATTTGTTTTTCATGCACCGCATATTGTAAAACATTTTCAAATTAAATGCTAAGCATCTTCCTTGCAGTGCCCCTTTTGAAAATAACTTCGATTGCCACAGAAAAGAGACCCACCGTAAACACATATGTTTAGGACATTCTTTATCTTTTTTCTTGAGTTTTGAAGATACCAACAAATTATCAAGACTTGTTCCATGAAAAATTAAATATAATCATAGTAATAAACGCATCTATCCACAATAGATATATGCACATGCCAACCACGTGCTCAGTGGAATAATATTAACGAGGAAACTCGAGCTATAAACAGAACAGTTTTTCCCGATTTGCTGGAGTGGGGTTAAAATCGCGTTTTTTTATTAATCAGACGATGCGATGCAACAAATAAATGTAGTAAGTAATATAAACTAATGAATATTACTTAGTAATTTCTTGTCTTGATGTTATTATGGTCGCATTTATTCTAAAATCAATGTTATTCGATCTCTGTGTGACAGAGGAATGGCGGACGAAATAAACATATGGCCTTAGGAAGACCCCCATATGAAAAATTTTCAAGAATTATGGATAATGACAAGAAAAAAGCGAAACAAATGGTTGTAGCCATATTATCAATGAATCGAACCAACACCATTTTCAATGCATTTTTCATCTCGTGAATGCTGTAGCTGCGCAGTTCTAACTTGATTAATTTCCTCCTAATTAAAACAAAATAAACTTAATTATTTTCTAATTTTGGTCTCTAACAGTAGGTAATGAGTGCATTAGCACTTTGAGTAACTTTGGGCTAGTTTAGTAGAGAATTAAGATCATTCTTGGTATCTCTAATTTTTCACCAGACTAGATCCAATATGGCTTGTACATCCATTTTAAGTGTATTTGTCATTCTAACTAAGAATAGAAGGACTAAAAGACATAATTATGAAAAAGAGCAAAAATCCTAACTTTATCGTCCATTATTAATAATACGACATTTCCGAGGTATGCGTATTGACTTATCTATACATGTATGTATCTTTACGATAAATAGAAACATACAATTACCAATAGATGTAAATTAATATCCTTGTCATATCTACTCTTGCTTTCAATCAAGTCCACAAAAATAAAATATTTCATATGCATTTTGTTAGGGTTTGTTCATCGACATTCAAGGTGTTGTTTACATGTTTATGTTACGTTTGTCCCAGAAATCCCACGAGATTTGTACATTCTCCAACTTTTTCACAAAAGAGCGCACTAAGAACTATAACTCTTCAATGGTGGAAATAGAACGTATTGAAAAACCATAGCTGTAAATATCACTCTATTAAGATAGTTCTACCCCTAAAGTTAAAGATTTGCTTTTTAGGTCACCTGAGTTAACTCAGGTGACCTATTGCTATCCGTTTTCGTCCGTCGTCGTGCGTTGTGCGTTAACATTTGAACATTTTCAGCTTCTTCTCTGCAACCACTGAACCAGTTTCAACCAAATTTGGCACAAAGCATCTATGGGTAAAGGAGAACAAAAATTGTGAATTTCATGATTACTGCCCCCCCCCCCCCGGGGCCTGAGGGGTTGGGCAAAAACCACTAAAATTAATGCAATCTTTAAAAATCTTCTTCTTTACTCCTGGACATCAAGCAGTCAAACTGTTTGCATGATTGTAATAAGCAATGAGTCCTCTACCAAAATTGTGAAATTCATGGTCCTGGGGTCAGGGGTTCTAGTGCTAGGGCGGGGCTAAATAATTAGGTAGTGAAAATGCATTATTTCTTTGAAAATCTTCTTCTCTGCTCCTGGGTATTAAATAAACCAACTAAATACATAGTTATGATGAGCAAGAGTGCCTCTACCAAAATTGTGAATTTTATGGCCCCAGGGTCAGGGGTTCTGGTGTTAGGGCGGGGCTCTATTGATTATATAGTGAAAATACACGAATTCTTTGAAAATCTTCTTCTCTGCTCCTGGGTATTAAAACAAACTAACTAAGTACATAGTTATGATAAGCAGGAGTGCCTCTATCAAAATTATGCATTTTATGGCCCCAGGGTCAGGGGTTCTGGTGTTAGGGTGGGGCTCTATTGATTATATAGTGAAAATACATGAATTCTTTGAAAATCTTCTTCTCTGCTCCTGGGTATTAAATAAACAAACTAAGTACATCGTTATGATGAGCAAGAGTGTCTCTACCGAAATTGTGAATTTTATGGCCCCAAGGTCAGGGGTTCTGGTGTTAGGGCGGGGCTCTATTGATTATATAGTGAAAATACATGAATTCTTTGAAAATCTTCTTCTCTGCTCCTAGGAATTAAATAAACTAAGTAAGTACATAGTTATGATGAGCAGGAATGCCTCTTCCAAAATTTTGAATTTTATAGCCCCAGGGTCAGGAGTTCTGGTGTCAGGGCGGGGCTCTATTGATTATATAGTGAAAATACATTACGTCTTTGAAAATTTTCTTCTCTGCTCCAGGGTATTAAGCAGATGAACTACCTATATAGTTATGATGGACAAGGGCCCTAATCTTCCAGAATTGTGAATGTCAAAGCCCCAGGGTCAGGGGTACCATAGAAGAGGGGGGCTCTACTTATATACTGAAAATGAATGAATGGTTTGAAATCTGCTCCTTGGTATTAATCAAATATCAAGGCCTAAGGGTCAGGGGTTCATGTGTGGTAGGGGCACTACTGATTATTGCTGAATATTACTGATTAGTTGAAATGCATTTTTTGTTCCCCTACCCTGGGTATGGGCATTAAGTAAACAAACTAAGCAACTGCTAAGTGTATTGTTATGATGATCAATGGTGCCTCTTTCAAAATTGTGAATGCCATAGCATCTGGCTTAAAACATGAATCAAATTCAATCACTGGAAAGTTGTTGCATAATGCTCAGGTGACCTATAAGGCCCATGGGCCTCTTGTTAAGGATGTACTTGGACAAAATATTTGCATCTAGAGTTTATAAGAATAGTTACAGTGATTTTCTTAATATTTTCCATCACCTTTTTTCAAAAATGAATTAGGTGAGATAAAACTGTTACCATTCATTATCCTAATCTTAATCTTCGAGTACTTTCTTTTTATTTTCTGATTATAGCATATCAGTACCATTGAACGAATAGGTTCAAGGTACCATTATTTAATCACATTGCTCACAAAGACAATTTCATCATACTACCTTTATTTACGAATGTGTATATAAATATAATTAAATACCTGTTGCACTAAAACACGTGACAAAAATGGATGCAAACAATTTTTATAATGAAAAAGATCAGGTAAAATCTGAAGACTATCTGTTTGTGGATGCTCTGGATTTTGGCACGACTTACTCAGGGTATGTCTTTAGCTCTCGATCTGAATACAGGGAAAGCCCTCCTAAGATCCACGCGAATCAGGCCTGGAATGCTGGAGGTTGTTCCTTGGCATCAATGAAGACTCCTACCTCCCTTCTTCTGGACTCTGAAGGCGAATTTGTCTCTTTTGGTTACGAAGCAAAAAACAAGCATGGCAGTTTGGTGATGGATGGAGCTAGTGATAATTATTTGTTCTTCTCTAGATTTAAAATGAAACTCCACAACCGAGATGTAAGTAGTCGTAAAAATTCTTTTTGATCAATAAGTCTTCTCTTATGTAAAAATATTTTTACATTTTTGTTATCAAAAAATTATAAATGATACATGATGTTATTTGTAGCTCTTAAAAGAAGACACCCAAACACCTGATATCTCCGGGAAACCTTGGCCAGCAAAAGATATGTTCACAAAATCCATTTAAGCTTTAAAGGACCATCTGATGGACCGACTTTCATTGCAGGGGTTTGATATTACAACAAGTGAAATTCAATGGGTGCTTACTGTCTTTGCAATCTGGAGCGACTCTGCAAAGATGTGCAGAGCTTGTAAGTAGTTTCTTTGTTTGCCTTGTTCTTTATAATCATTATTTTTCTAACCCAACAGTCGCCCGCGTGGCGCAGTGATTAGACCGTCTGCTCTAGAGTAGCGAAGTAAGAAGTCAATTCTTACGTCGCGGTTCGAATCCCACTGTGGGACGTGGAGACCGGTCCTTCGGATAAGACCGTATAAACCGAGGCCCCGTGTCGCAGTAGGTGCTGGCACGAAAAAGATCCCTCCCTGCTCAAAGGCCCTGAGTGCCGAGCATAGGACAAAGTTTGTAGCCCTCCACCGGCAAGTGGTGGCGCCTCCATATAAGTGAAAAATTCTCGAGAGAGACGTTAAACAACATACAATCAATCAATCTAACCCAACTTTTAATGTAAAAGAACCTTTCTGTATCTAGTGTTTAAACCGGTGGAGACTTTAGGTTTCCTTTGAGTCTGCCCGTCCGTCCGTCTGTCTGTTTGTCTCCATGTCCACCTGTCAGTCTGTCTTACTTGGTTTTTTCTAAACGCTTGCAGATATTTAGCTGATTTTTTATACGTGAGTGTACCTTAATGAGTTACAGATCAAGTTTGAATTTCGTTCCGCTTCATAGTTTTTAATGGAATTATGGCATCCATCACAATGAACAATAATTATCAATAATTAAGTAGATTTTATATAAATTTGTGTGTGTAAAAAAAGGGGAGAAAAAAAAGAATAACGTTTACCTGGTCCTCGGTCCCACAGTTCCACTAGTTTGTAAAATACAATTATAATAATTTTGGATATAACAGTACAAAATAATTCAAAGATAATATAGTACAATGCTGTTTTTATATACAAACATCTGACAATTAGCATTACACAGATAGAAATTACATGTAGGTCAACCTGATAAATCTTCGTTACGTTATATTAGGGCATGATGGATATATTTCCCCAAACCAACTATATAAAGCTACTACTATAATGTAGATACTAGTATGCGGTGTATGCCTAACAATTGAATTGATTAGATATACTAGGCGATTTGTAATAATATTCATTTATATATTTTTCCCTTGATTTAGATATCTAGGGCATTAGAGAATGAAATGAAATTCATCATCTTCTACTTGATGACTATCACAAATATCGCATATTCTATCATTTCTGCACTTGCCTTGGTACCTTCCTCATTCTATATTAAGATAGTGCGACGAAAGTATGATGCGGGAAATATAGTTTGAAAAGGTTTTGTTAAATAGGGTTGTATTTTACAAAATCAGATTGTAACATTATTTTACAGCAACAAAAAGGTATCATTATATATCTATTTAAGTATTTTGTCAACATATGCAATTTTATTATACATGTATACACTATTGTTGCATTATTTTTATAAATACGAGGGTTGTTAGAAAAGTTCGCGGACACATTGAATTACAAAAAATCTATTGTGTACTGTGAAGTATGACCTATGTCTGAATAAATTCCTACATTTTGTTTATTTGCATGTAAAAAATCAGGTCCATTTACTACAATCTTGAAAATTTACAACGATTTTTACTATGAGGTCATGGGATTCACGGAGCAATCACTTGACGTAAGGCGACATGACAGCCAGATATCAACCCGTTAAGCTTTGTCGCAGTTCATTAAATCTTTCATTTTTTCAATATTTTCTTATCTTTTTTCTACTCTAAATTTGTATATCTATATCAAGACATGTTACTTTTCTACTATAATGTCCTTTGTACTGATTCGGATATTATTGAGATCTTTGGGAAAAAAGTCTATGCAGTTAATCGATTAGGTATTGAAACTATGCAAAACCATAAAGGTACAACGTCCATGCAATAAAGGGGTATTGAAGTATCGATGGGGTTAATCATTCAAAATGTTAATCCTTACATTCTTGTAAAGCTACAACCATTTGAAAACTTTTGTCCTTTGTATGTGTAGGAAATTTCCGGCAGCATCTTGCACATTTTAATCTCTTTTTAGACATTTTCCTGTCTGCATACATAAATTTTACGTAGCGCAGTGCTCCATGACGCTCAATAACGTTCCGATTTTTGGCTGTGTTTTTATGTGTTGATCATTTATAAATGGCTATAAAACAGTCATTTACCCTCCAATTTGATCCATAATTTCTCCCAGTGATGTTTCATGCATACTTATGCGACAAGTAAAATATAACAAATCTCTTTGCACTACAATTGTGCAATTTTTAATTTTGATAAAGAGTCTATGTGATGTAAACGTGCCAAAATGTAGCATGCTCCGTGAAGCAAGATTTATCAAAATATTCCAAAATGGCGCCGCTCGAGGTAAGACGCGTCGAGTGAGGGAGCGTGGAGCGGCCGAGTTGACAAGTTTTATGGGACTGAAACATGGTCAAATTGTGAATTCAGACTTGCTCAGGGCGGATACATGCAGTGGTTTCCTTATTTGGAATCTAGGAGTGGTATTTTTAAGGAATTACATCGAAACGATAGTGTAGTGAGTAAAATCTATTTATAGCCTGTAGATCTACATGAGTACTATTGACAAATATTTTAAGATCCTTCTACTGGTGTTACTACTCGTAAAGGTTCTACTCCAGCTACTAGCAAATCTCCAAAAGACAGTCAAAAGGATAGCCAGAAGGGAATTCTTTCCTCTGAGTCCTCTCCAAAACGTACGCAGGAAAATTCCATGCAAATAACAATGGATTCAATTCAAACACAGCTGACCGAGATTAACAACCAACTCAAAAAGACAATAAAGGTTAGTGATATTCAAACAGTTGTGAGAAGTGTTGTAGAAGAATTATTTAGTAGTTACCAAGAAAAATTTGAGAAGAAATTGAACGATGAAGTTGTAAAACTCAGAGAAGAGAATGAGAAACTACATCTAGGAAACAAAGATTTGCAGAAAGAAATTAGGGAAGACGAAGAATTATTAAACGACTTGCATAACAGAACGGAAGAAAACAAATGGATGACAAGGTCAGCAATTTCAAAAGCAAATTTCAATGAACAATATTCGAGGAAGAATAATTTAAAAATTCATGGTTTACCAGAGAAGAAAGGGGAAGAACCCTTACAGGTTGTGAATGAAGTGCTCGAGGAAGTGGGCGAACAGACTAAAGAAGATGACGTTCTAGCAATCCATAGGATTCCAGGAAAGAAAGACCAACATCGGCCAATTATGATAAAGCTTAAAACCATGGAAGCAAAAGTAAAGGTCATGAAGAAGCGATCGGACATTAAAGAACTAGAGTTACAGAATGATGTCAAGGTCAAAGTAACGGATGACGTGACACAAGAGAATGCAGCCCTTATAACAAGACTCCTGTAGGACCACAGAATATCCGCGGCATGGTACTTTAATGGGCACATTTACGGAGAATGCGGGAAACGAAGAATCAAATTTGATTTATACGATGATATTGACAAAAAAATACGGAAAGGAAGAGGCGATCCGGACTTGGTTCTTTAGTTAGTCGAGGACGCATGTATATCCGGTGAAATAAAATGGACATGACTGTCACTGTGATGACAACGAAAACAAGGTATAAGTAACATTAAATTTGTCAACTTGTGAGCCATCCAGGAATTATGCAAATATTTTTGTTTGTTTGTCTGTGTTTGTCTTTGTGTGAAAGATGTATGTATGTTTTTTTGTTGGAAAAGAAATTTTATTCCGATCGAAAATGCCTTGAACGTACAATTTTGTTTTTAGACAACATTTACTTGTCTAAGCATAGTTATAGATTGTGTAATACAGGTGGCTACGGAATAGTGAAATGAGTTTTAATATTTTAACATTTAATTGTAGAGGGCTTGGGGGACTAGAAAAGAGGAGAGACGTGCTTAACTATTTAAAACAGAAAAATTTCTCAATTACTTTTTTACAAGATACTCATTTTACTCTTGATGATTACCCTCAAGTTAGATCTCTTTGGGGCTATGATGTTTACATATCACCTGGTCAATCAAATTCTAGAGGTGTCGCAATTTTGTTCAACAATAATTTTGAATATAAAAACTAAATGAACAAAAAGATAAAGCAGGTAACCTGCTTGTTCTGGAGATTAATGTATTTAATGAATATGATATTTTATTAGTAAATGTATATGGACCGAATAATGATGATCCAAAATTTTTCCAATCAGTATCTGACATAATTTCAAATTTTCAAGGAGAATTTGTAATTTGGGGTGGAGATTTTAACCTTGTACAAGATGCAAATTTAGATTACTTTAATTATAATAATGTAAATAATAAAAAGGCAAGGGAAACAGTTCTGAATATGAAAGTTGAGCATGGTTTGACCGACCCTTGGAGAGTGAAATATGAACAACGTAAAAGGTATACTTGGTTTAAAACCAATCCTCATAAAAAAGCTAGACTTGATTTTTTCCTATTATCTAACGAACTTTTTGCTTTATTAGATAACGTTGATATTATACCTGGGTATAAGTCTGACCACTCAATGGTTTCTATAGAAATTAAATTGACCAAATTTGAAAAGGGGAAAGGATTTTGGAAGTTTAACAATTCTTTACTCAGGGATCAGTCTTATGTAAACATTGTAAAAAATACTATACGAAAAGTAAAGGAACAATATGCTGTCTCTCCGTATAATCCAGTATGTATACATAAAATTGAAAATGAGGAATTATCTCTACTCATAGATGATCAATTATTTTTTGAGCAACTTTTGCTGAGTATAAGAGGTGCTACAATTCAATATTGTTCTATAAAAAAGAAATTAAAAAACGAAAAAATTAATTTACTTGAAAACGAAATAAAATATTTAGAATCACTGAGAAATATTAATAGCTCAACAGAAATTATAGAAAAATTAAATGCTGCCCAAAATAGTTTAGAAGAAATAAGAAAAGAATATATAAAAGGGCTTTTTGTTAGAACAAAACTTAAGTGGATTGAACAGGGTGAAAAACCAACAAGATATTTTCTTAGTTTAGAAA